TCACATGACACCGGGAAGGAAAATGGCTAATTGGGCCCAATTTGGACATTTTCACTAAGGCTGGCCATACATTATACAATTTTCTTCAGAATTTTGCTTTAGATTTAGAAAAAAAATATAATATTGAGGACAAACCTTAACAACACTTTCAATTGTATCCAATTAGGCAGGACCTTGCACTACATAGTTGAAGGTAAATCTAAAGGAAATTGGGCAGAAATTGAATAGAGAATTCTATAATGTATGGCCAGCCATAGGGGTGTACTCACTTTTGTTGCCAGCGGTTTAGACATTAATGGCTGTGTGTTGAGTTATTTTGAGGGGACAGCAAATTTACACTGTTTTTAAAGCTGTACACTCACTACTTTACATTGTAGCAAAGTGTCATTTCTTGAGAGTTGTCACATGAAAAGATCGAATAAAATATTTACAAAAATGTGAGGGGTGTACTCACTTCTGTGAGATACTGTAATACCAGTTAGCACTTAGGGTGGCCCAAATTGTTTAATCCTGCCCAAGAACAGACCGATTCATAGATGGATCCAGTCTTGGCTGGTTCAATAGAAACCAACTGAAATTTGATCCATCTATGAGTAGGGTGGTTGTACTGAAGTCAATCAAGCGATCACCTTCAATACAACCAGCCTGTCAGATTTTTTTCATTCGATCACTACCAGTAGCTGTAGCCACCAGCAGTGATCATTGTGTTCTGCCAGCAGGGAAGGCTTCAGAACACAATAGCGTTGTGGGAGGGATTCCCCCATCAACACTTATTATGTTGACGGGGGAATAGAGCTTTCTTTTTTTTTTCTTTCCACCTGTGATGGAAGGATATAACATTGCATAATCTATGGGCTGCTTTTTAGACAAAAGATCGAATATTTAGGCCATTCTAAAGCCTAGTACACACAACTCTTTTTTTTTTTTTCCCCCGTTTTTGTCCCATGCTGTGCTATTGTGTTCTGACAGGGGGGCAACCCCCCCCCACCCCACCAGAACACTCTGGTCAGTGCTCTCAGCCATTGGCTGAGATTGTTGATTGGGAGCTGATCGGCAGACCTTTTTCAGTCATGCCCCTTCGACAGAAGTTGGCCGAACAGCTAGCTTCTGTCGGACCGGCTGCCGTAGCCACTGGCTGAATAGGCTTAAAGCTGGCCATACACTGGTAGATATTCATTCCAAATATCTTGTCAGTACATTAGCAAATGGCAACAGAGACTTGATGTATGTTCAAAAAAAGTCAAAATTTCATTTGCTTTTAAGATGAATGGTGTTTCCTGAACAAAAACCGTAATACTTTGTTGGAAATATGTTTATTCAATTAAAATTTTCCATCTTGATCCATCAAATGTTCTTGTCCCTACAACTGAATATGATCATCAATTTGATCATATTAACAACATTTAGAAAATCAAATAAATGTTCTGAAAATGAAAAATTGACATTCTACTAGTGTATAGCTATCTTATGTACTGACTAGGGCTAGGGAGTGATAATGAGCACATTCAAGCATGTAAAGTGCTACTATGATAGAAAGAAATCTCTTTACCATGCATGAGTGACTTTTTATTTCTTGTGCATCAAGACACAGAACAGCTCGAATCAGTGTGTTCAATCATGGGTAGATTTCTCACTTACTTCTCTCTTATCTTTTCTTACTGAGTGAGTGTAGTATAAGAAGAGTATAAGTAAAGACTGTGCACGTAGATTGAGTAAGACTGAACAAGCCACCAGAGTTTGTATCAACCAGGGGCGAACTGACAACTCATGGGGCCCCCGGGCAATAGGGGATGATGGGGCCCCAAACTCAAAAAAGCCTATGAAAAAGGTACCAGGGGCATCTCATGGGGCCACCTACTGACCCAGGGCCCTCGGGCAGTGCCGAGTTTCCAAATGGTCAGCCGCCCCTGGTATCAACCCATATATACTTAAAGCCACACCATCCCACATGGCAAATACCAGAGTTTGCCCACCCAATGACATTAAGACTATACCTAGAGTAAAAAAAAATAAGCTCTTACCTGTAAATATGAATGATTGTTAGGTTTGCCACCTTCATTCACAGGGCTTGGACAGCTTCCTTCACACCGATAGGCATTAAATTTTTTGGGGTGAATGATCCAAGCATCCCAGCCAATCATTTTGAAGTCCACAATGAAGTCCACTCTTCTACAAAGATTTATTTTATTGTCAGTTAGTGGGGGTTGTTTCATGCTAATGATACGGTCCCTAATCATGTGGCTTCTTCTCCGTCTTCTTGATGCAGATTTGTTCATCAAGAATGGGATTGTTGTTAGATATTTCGATTGTGTGGCATCTAGCAAGAGGGAAGCAGTTACAGAAGACCTCTCTTTCCTGGATAAATTGGAATATACAAACATCAACATCTGCTTATCTTCAGGTTTCTGCTCACTGTATCTCCTCTTTCCATGCTCAACACCAGACACCGTTTCTATAGGTTTCAAATGGACAGCTGTGTTAATATGACCAGCTTTATAGTTCCTTTGAAACCACTTACGGACTATGGCTGTAGCATCCATCACTATCCAACTCTCTGAGACTCTGGTTTTACAGGTACTTGAGCCCAGGTAGACATAATTGTGGCATAGCTCCTGAGAATCTTGGCAAGTGGAGTATTGATGAAATATGTCAATGTTAAGTGGCATCACATCACTGTGTATTTTTGATAATGTAGATTTCCCAAATCGAACCTCTGCATGTTGAAGCAGTTCATCATGACTCAGAGATGAGAAGTCAAAAATGAAGACATATCTTTCACCCACTTGCTCAAATTCTGAATGAAGAAAAAAAGAAATGTTATACCTCAACAGTAAATACAGTATCTATGATGCATCACTAAAACAAGTGCACATTTGTCAATAACGGCTCATTTACACTTTTGGTTGGGTGGGGGGGTGTTAAAAATAGCAAGTTGAGGCATGTTTTTACTGCACCCCAGCTCCCTTAAGCTGCAAAGGCAGCTGGCTGAGGCTATACACATGCCTCGGCCTCAATGTTTTGTTTCAGGGCCATGGTAAAGATTTCATCCCTTTTAACCTATGGTGTTATTATTACTATACAGAATTTATATAGTGCCAACAGTTTGCGCAGTGCTTTACAATATAAGGGAGACAGTACAATTACAATACTTTCAGTACAGAAGGAATAGGAGGGCCCTGCTCGTGGAGCTTACAATCTAAAGGAAGGGGGAGGTGATACAAAAAGGTGATAACAGCAGGGGATGATCTGGCGGAGGTGATTCAAGTACAGTTCTTAGGTGGAGGTGGAGGTGGGGTAGGCTTCCCTGAAGAAGTGAGTTTTCAAAGATCGCCTAAAGGCAGACAGGGTGGGGGCTGACCGGATATGCTGTGGTAGGGAGTTCCAGAGGATGGGAGAGGCTCTGGAGAAGTCCCGGAGGTGAGCGTGGGAGGAGGTGATGAGGGAGCTAGAGAGGAGGATATCATGGGAGGAGCAGAGTGGGCAATTTGGGCGGTATCTGTGGATGAGGTTGGCAATGTAGCTAGGGGCAGTGTAGGATGGCTTTGTAAGCTGTGGTTAGTATTATGAATTTTATACATTGGGTTAGTGGAAGCCAGTAGAGGGAATGGCAGAGAGGGGCAGCAGTCGCTGATCGGTTGGTAAGGTGTATGAGTCTAGCAGCATCATTCATAATAGACTGAAGGGGGGATAGCCTGTGTAACGGTAGACCAGTGAGGAGGGAGTTGCAGTAATGGAGGCGGGATAAAAATGCGGATTGCCTGCCTGTTCTTACTGCTCCCCCAAGGGCAAGAGTAAATGTAGCCTAATGCTCCGTACACACTATAAAAAAATCCTAGGAAAATTTTTGTGCGAGGACCAATCGTTTGATAATTGGATCGTTAGTACACAGCTTTCGAGAGCTGATCACAACAATTTGTGTGACAATATCCAAAAGGGACAAGCGCAAAAATTTTTCTTGTACGATACCAGATCATATGATTTTCTTTTAATTAGTACAGTAGTCGTCCGAAAATACAATACATGACATCACTTTCAAAAATCTTTTCTTTCGTAGGAGAATTATTGTATCTTTAGTAACCTTTTCACTTTCGATGTGAGAATAGCAGGCGAAAAAAAAAACGGGCAATCATTCGTCCGATATTCTCATCGCGTGTATGAGGCTTTATAGCATCTGAAAATATTGTTCACCATGTCTTTATTAACTAGTTGTAGTAAATATTTACATGTGCTGTAAGATGGAGGTTCCCATTCAAGCATGTTTCTGTTTTGTCACCCAGTTCTAATCTCCTATTGCATCTCATTTTCTCTTGTGTACCTCTTTTGTATTAGTAGCTGGAAGGATTAGTTTTTGCTAATTTGATTTAGATAAGGTGTAAATTTATGCTTGTAGGGGCTGTCTTCACACTTCCTTTTTTTGCAACTGTAAAGAGTGACAAATGTGTTTTAAACAGTTCACACAATCATTATCATTTAGGTAATCCTTTTAGTGGGCAAATAATGCTTGGAAATGTTGAACCTTGGCAAAAAGTTACAAATACTGTAGCTACTTTTTATAACAGAAGCACATAGAGCTGCATATACAAACACAACGCAGATTTAAAAAAAAAAAGGCTTTATTCAAAACTGTTAACACTGTTTTGGATTGAGAGTCATAAGGATGGCCTTAATGTTTGAAAGGTTTTTACTAGTCTCTACAGCCCAGGTGCAACATATTAATTTCTTCTTTATTGACCTATCATTGCTCACCTGTGACTACCTGTGTCTGGGAAATCTCCTTAACAGGGACACCAACAGCAATAAAATCCCAACAGAGTATCTACACCATTTTATTTAACTAATGTTTTGTTCTACTTTAGCAGAAGGTAAATTTAAGCAAGAAAAGAGAAAGATGAACTGCCATGTTATTGGGTTGGGCATATGTATTAACTGCTTCCTGACTGCCATATAGCAGAAATACTGCTACAGGGCAGCACGGTGTGCAAAATCACATATATATACACATGATTTTGCATTTCCAGGTAAGAGGCGCATGCGCCCCCTACCCACGCTGCCAATCACCTGGTCCTGCCCGGTGATTACTCGCCGGCGCCCGGTGATTACCGAAGATCTCAGACCAGAAGAACTGTTTTATTTGCTAACAGTTCTCCTCCCTGTCAGCTCGGGCACACTGATGCACAGCACAGCCATCCAAAGCAGTGTGCTTACAGTGAAGCACACAGACACCGTCCCCTAGTAAAACACATGAAGCACATAGTTAACCCTTTAATCGCCCCTCACGTTAACCCCTTCCTGACCAGTGCCATTACTACAGTGTCAGTGCTTTTTGTTAGCACTGATCACTGTATTGGTGTCACTGGGGATGGCAGTGACACCAAGTCAGATCCTCACAGTGTCAGAATGTCCGCCGCAGTCATTCAATCCCACTATATATTGCTGATCTCCGCCTTTACTAGTGAAAAAAAAAATAATTCCGTATATATACACCGCCATTTGTAAACGTTATAACTTTCACATAAACCAATTAATTTACACGTATTAAGATTTTTTTTTTCTAGCAAAGACAAGTAGCAGAACACATTTTGGCCTAAATTTATGACAAAATGTGATTTTTAACATTTTTTTTACTGGACATTTAATAGCAAAAAGTCAAGAATATTGTTTTTTTTCTCAAAATTGTTGGTCTTTTTTTTATAGCGAAAAAAAAAATAAACGCACAAGCGATCAAATACTACCAAGAGAAAGCTCAATTTGTGGCAAAAGAAATGATGTAAATTTCATTTGGGTGCAGCCTTGCATGACAGCACAATTGTCAGTTAAAATAACACAACGCCGTAATGCGAAAAATGGCCTGGTCAGGAAGGGGGGGGGGGGGGTAAATCCTCAGGAGGGCAAGTGGTTAATATATAAAAAAAACGTATTTACAAATTGCTAAGGATTGAATTACATTTTGTATTGTGGTAATACCCACAATAGCACGTGTTACTGTAATACATTATAATGTGCATTACATGCCCTGGTGCATCGCAGTTAAATTCACTTTGAATGACACCCCAATGCACCTGCTTTAGAGCATGCTGCAATGCGTGGCTACAGAAGGTAGGACAGAATATAAGTGAACGTCCCACACATAAAGGTAATGTACACTCAAGCTAATATAATGATGATATACACAATTCACTGCTTTTTCCTGCACTTTTTTGGAGCCAACTTTAACCCTGAACACTATTGCTATTTAGGATAATTATAATAAATTTAGGATAATGATTCATAACCATGTTTTTCTAATCCTAAAATTGCAAAAATTGCGTATTCCCAGGAAAAAAATCCTGGAAGCACGGTTGCAGTGTCACAGGTTTTATCATTATTTTTTGCATTTAACATTAACTTTCTATATGGATTCAGTGCGTGTATGATTGCTCAGAATTTCCAAAACAATGTTTTTGAAAAAAAAAAACAGCTTAACTTCATTGTAGAATATACTAAAGTTTAACTAAAGCTATTCAATCATGTCTGTACTTAGTTTAATGCACAAGATGTGGATTGCAGAACTTATGGGATTTCTATAGGGCTGTCTGACCTATGTCTCTGTTCAATGACCTAAGCTTTAAAAAGGACAATACTGATGAAGACTCCTAAGGTGCTGAAGGTTGGCAGCAGTCTTCTGATAAAGAGACATGCAGACAAGCTATGAAAAGGATGTGTATTAGTATTCTGTGTAATGAGTGCTTGTAAAGTGTGTCTGGTACAGAGATTTAAACATAGTCTGCATACCCCTTTCCAAGACATCAAAGCAAAATTGTAACACTGATCTATATGACTTTTTGGTCCAAAACTAACACCATTCATTACTGATCAACCCAGACAGAATAGTTATTCATCCAACACCAAGCAACCTTTATGATAATTTTTCAATGTTAAAATAACAAAATTATTGTTTCTGAATCACTAAAATCTGCAGTGACAGCTGAAAAAAATGTTCACGCATACCTTAGACCCAAATTCTATGTGTTGCATCATCAATAATTGAATTTCTACAATGCACGTTACAAGCCTTAATGCATTGCAGTGCTAATAATTTCAAATAGCAGTCCAATACACTTAGGCATTGCAGATGAATAGCAACAGGCTGCAATGTAATGCATTGCGACAGAAATTTTGTGACATGTCCAAGAATTGGAATTTTTTCTGCCTCGGAAGCTCATTTCAAAGTTTGATTTCAATGAGCTGCTTTAATGCAACACACCTTAATGCACAAAATAATGTAAATGGACTCTAAATGTTATACAACTGAAGACTCTGAGGCCAAAAAATTGGATGTCAATGACAATCAACTGAGCCTTTGAAACTGTATTTTCCTGTACAGATTTTATAGTAGAAAAGGCAATATGGCATGGAAAGTGTCTGTTTGGAAAGCCAGGCAAGGATAATGCATCTATTTGCTATTCTCTGATTGTGACAAATGGGAAATATTGTCAATCTTTATGTCAGACTGTGTATCAGACCCCATATTAGCAAAAGAAACAGATTAAAACTATTAAACTATATAATTAATATACTGTATATTACCAATTACCTTTTTGAAAGGCTAGCCAGAAACTGCATGAATTCTGTGCACTTGGCTAACATTAGAAGCAATATTTGATTAGTGTAAAGGACTTAAAGCAGAACTAACCCCAATGATTTAGCAATTTCTCAAAAACAGACTGCTTTCACACTGATCAGTTTTTCCTGTTTTTGCATTAAAAAAAAAAAAAGGAAGAAAAACACATGGACCATTAAATCGTATGGAACTCTTCACACTGGTCAGTTGCAGGTCCATTTCATTTTTTCAAGGTCCTGCTTGCTGCGTTTTTTGGTGCATGTTTGGTGTGGTTAAAAAAACAAAAACACACCTTCCATTTAAATGAATGGAAACTGCATCAAAGACGTGTCAAAAATGCATAAAAAACGCACCCACAGTTGCTTTTTTTTTTTGGTGTGGTTTTTGAGTAATGTGTACTTTTTTCACAGATGCAAGACGCACCAGAAATATGGCAAAAAACGCATATCTGTTTTTAACAAAAGAGCAGTGTGAAAGTAGCTTTACATTGAAGGCATGCAGTGAAAGATAACTATCACATTCGCTTGTGCTCTTAACTTTACTATCTAAGCATCAAATGAATGGTGTCATAACTGATCATATGTGCAGCACCATATCAACTGCAGATCAAAACAGACTATGATGGCAGCTTATTTGACTGTAAAGGATTTGGTTCCACTTTAAAATAACCAGCTTCCAGTTCTAACAATGTTCTAGAAACCTTGCCAGCTCATCATTTAGTCAAAGATGTACAGATTCCTGTATGTGACTGGTTAGGACCCTTGATGGCATTAGTGTTCTGAAGGCAGGCAGGTCTTCTAGTTGCCTTTGACATCTGCCCCTCAATGGGAAGCCTGCCTTAATAGAAATGCATTTGTTAAAAGCCCATGCAATACCCAGGTTATGACATCTACCAGTGACATACTGTACATGGTAATCCCTTTGTATTTTACAAACACATACAGTAGCAGGGCTTGCTAATGCTAAATGTAACACTAGTAACACTTTCATTAACACTTTTATCACTTACTGAACTTCCCACTCAATTACTCCAAATTAATTAGTTTGTTCTGCTTAACTACTCACAGATATTCATTACTCAATCCAGATTATATGCAAAGGATCCCTAACAATCACTATGCATGTATCCCATCCAGCTCACCTCAAGAGAACAGTCACTCAGCTGGATAGGAGTTTTTTTTATCTAATAGATATTGGTTTCTCAATGCCAAGACCAGTTCAGGGATATATGTGCAATCTCCCCATTATGCTTGGAAAATATAAACATGGATGCAACACTTGTTTGAAGCAAATAGTGTTCAATAACTATAGTAGGCTGCCATATGCGAGTTCCTTCTGATGTCTAAGTCCAGCTCCACAATATAAGGTTGATTATATGTAGAACAAATTTTGCTTGCAATGCAACTCTTTTAAAAAGAGATATTTGGACTAAATATGGGATATGACAACCAGGGTTAGTCGTAGAGAATTTCCAGCATACTCCTCAGAGCAATTTCAATTACCTATTTTTTCCACATCATTAGGAAACTATGCATTCATCATTGCCTGTTTGGGTACCAGTGCACAGTGTTTTGGATCATGTCCATAGTAGCCAGCAATGAGGTTGATTTACTAAAGGCCAAATGGCTGTTCATTTTGCAAGGGAAATTTTCCTTAGCTTAGTGAATGAGGTGAAGCTCTGATGACTTCAATCATCGAATCATGCATGAACATATACTGTGTTGTTTTTTTTTTTGCTTTTTTCCTTGCACTTAATTGAGTATTCTTTGCAAAGTGAATTTTCACCACATTCACCAAGCTAAGGGAGAAAATTCCTTTGCAAAACAATCTATTTGCCGTTCGTAAATCAACTCATATTTGGATTAAAAAAAAAAATCAACTCCAATATCTGTTTTTTTAAAATGCCAACATTACTTTTGTGATACTTGCCAACATTTACAAGCTGTGACTGGTTCATGTAATGTCCTAGGTTAGAACAATGATTTATGATAGATCTATTTTTATAGAATATTATATTTAAAATCCTGATCCTAATATATTTCATTTTATTTTGCATAATGATATAGACCTAACAAAATATATAAACCTAAATAAAAATGTTCAGTACTGTAGATTCCAATTCAATTTACACTATATTGGATAACAGCTATATGAAACATCATTATTTAATTTATATACCTTAGAATTAATCCTAGTGTTAGAACTATTAGCATCAATATTCAAATAAACCAAAAATAACTGGTCAGTGTAGAGATAGCAATTTGATATGACAAAATTTATATTATAAGAAGAGCTGTAATCTTACCTTTAGCAGCTAGACTCCTGATAATATCAGCCTGTGGACTAGATGGGGACCTCAGTTTTGGTGTGGGTCTTTGCTCTGTGCCTTGTCTGGTCTCTAAGCGATGAACATTTTGGTAGAGACTCATCATGAAGTTGGGCAGTTCAGGAGGGACTGCATTTTTACCCGCTGCATCTTTTGTCCTATTGGCAAATTCTTGTAGGATGGCTGGCTCATCACTAGGATAACTCTTTGCAATGTAGTTAGCTACTCCAGGTATGAGTAGCATTATCAGAACACAATAGAAAGAGACAGACATTGTATCCCTGTATGTGTGTGCACTGGCTTTACTGACTGAGTGCAATGACAACAGCTTTTTGGTCTGAATGACTTATGCATATTCAAAACATCTATTAGCTGGTCATTCAGCCTAAGCCTATTGGAAACCAAGGAAAAGTAACACCTTTCCCAGAACATTCACTCTGTTTGCCAATATGGATTAGGGAGGATAATATAACTGACACGCTATTT